AGTTGTGGAGGAGGTTGGAGAGCAAACTGACGATCGTCTTTCGGGACACCCGTTGGAAGCGAAAACTTTTGCCCAAAGGGAAGGAAGTCTGTTCAAACTGTCATGCCATGGGCACTGTGACTCCTGAGAAGATCGGGAAGGCACCGGTTGAAGCAGAACTCAGCTTCAATCGCAAAAGGGTGGCCTTTCCTCCGAGGGTGGACTAGAGGAAACTGGTGAGGACTTTGTCTCTTACACCACTTCCGAATGATGTCAAGTTTTGGGTATATAGTTTGAATCATGCTTTTAGTATTCCTTTTGCGGTTGCAGGAGCTCTGACGATCGCTTCTACTTCCTCAAATGCTAACGTCGACCCTAAGGGCGATGTGGCCTTTGTTGAACAAGCCACAGAGAGGGGAGTGAATACCGAGGAGCAAGTTGCTTTGGAGCAGGGAACCATGGAGAAGGGCACTATGGGGTCGGACGTTGTGACTGAGAGGATAAGGGAGAATCCTTCCTCTAACAGAGGAAGGAGTGTGGGCAGTCAAGTTTCTTCCGGCACGACAGCAGAGGAGGCGACACCTAGGGGCGTCGGGTGTATGCCAACTTTCTGATGCGCCGTCTGCCGAAATGGAGGAGCGCTTTCTTAGAGTCATAGTACAAACTCGAGGATAGAGTAATGATGGAGTTGTTGAGATCCTGGAGCGAGTTAACCATGTAGAAAAAAAAGTTACTGGGCTTCATAGGGAACTTGATAATTCCAAGCTATCAAGTCGTGTCGTAACAATTTGGGTCAGGACATTCGTATTCGTATTTATAGCAAACAATACTTTATCATCTTCTATCAAACATCCATCTTCTATAATCTAGGGTGTATCCCTTTTCATGAATGGATATAATTATTTAAATATAATTAATTAAAATTTTAAATTTTAATTATAATTATTTTGTTTTTCTAATTATCTTATTGGCTCTTTTATTAGTAATATATTAATTTATATAAACAAGTCTCTGATATCACTTTTGCCACGACCTGGCCCGAAGCATTGAATTAACCAAGAAAGATATAGACGTTCAGACAGTGAAAAATAAATTTATTTTCTATATTCATTTTCTCTATCTAACATTTGATAAATAAAAAAGTCGCTAAAAAGTAAAATTGAATGTACCTTCAATAAAAATTTTATCTTAAATTGCTCATTTTTATGTCAAATGTTTAAACCTGTAAAATTAATTTAAAATAATAGTGAGCTAAGAGCTAGTGAATACTCGTACTCTTAAGCTATAATAACATAATAAGAAGAAAAGGATAAGCATTAAGTTAAATTTTATGTAAAATCAATCTAAGAGTTTGAAAATTTGTAGTATTTAATATGATCATTCAAATTAATTTTAAATATTCACTATGTCTTACTTTATCGTTTACATACCAATATTTTTTAAATCTGTCTACAATCGTTACAGGAATACTATCTAAAACTGTGTAAATTAAAACACATCCATATCAATTCATTTTTCAGTTAAGTGCACGGGTACCTTAACGTTCCCCCGCTATTATAAAGAGGTGAACTCTATCTTAGCCAAGCAAGCATATACATTCAGTCTATGCAGTTCATATCATTCATCCACATATTTCATTCAATTCAATGTATATTGTATACATAATGCATAATAGTACTTGTTGCTAAAATGTAAAATCGTCACCAGAATTTGACCAATAAAAAGAAAAGCATATCAATCAAAATAAAATCTGGCAATTGAATTTATGCGTAGCAGTAATTATCAATGAAATTGATTAATAAGAAACAAAAATGCTACTATAGATTAAAAAATAAGAGTACTCACACAATAGATTTCAGTTATTATTCCTCAATTTCACCAATGACGTCGACCTCAAACCTTTATAATAATTCCTATAAACAAAAAAAAAACTAAGATAACATTTTGATATTAATAACTTCCTTTATAAATTCAACAATAATCTAAACTTAATATACTATATAAGAATCCAAACCTTCACATTTCTATTAATTTAGTATTGATGTACTAATTAAAAAGCTTTAGAAGTTTTAGGAAAACTAAAATTTTTATTATTTTAAATGTTTAATTAATCATAATACTAAAAAAATTATTTCACAAACTATCTTAATTATTATAAATTTCTAATTATTTAAAATAAAAAAATTTTCCATAACTAACTCAAATTAATACTTTAATTTAAATTTAGATGAGTTACATTTTTTTTCCTCAAACCACAATACTATTTTGTTATTATAAATCATTGATTTTAAGCAAAACCCTAATAAAATAGTATATGGATATAAATGAGAACTTTGAATTTATAAACGAAATGCATAACTAAAATCACTTCAACACAAACAACTTACCCCAGCAACCAACTCCTCACGTGAACTTGGTAGGCATAGCTCACGACGTTGCTATTTCGTATGCATGATTTTACGCACTAGTCCTGCCCTAGCACTTTCTCGTTATTCTTTGAATTGCAACATTTGGAATAAACTCGAGCTCGCAATTGCCTGTCTCTGGTCTTAATGTGGGCCATCTTCCTCGCTCACAATTGAGCCTTCTCGATGTCATGCTACTCGATGATGCAATGGACACCGATGTCTGCTCGACTTCTTTATTTGACAAACTATCTTAATTATTATAAATTTCATATTATTTTAAAATAAAAAAAATTTCCATAACTAACTCAAATTAATATTTTAATTTAACTTTAGATAAGTTATATTTTTCTTCCTCAATCCACAATACTACATTGTTATTATAAATATTTGATTTTAAGCAAAACCCTAATAAAACATTTTATAGATATAAATGAGAACTTTGAATTTATAAACGAAATGCATAACTAAAATCACCTCAACATAAACAGCTTACCCCAGCACCCAACTCTTCACGTGAACTTGGTAGGCATAGCTCACGGCGTTGTTATTTCCTATGCATGATTTTACACACTAGTCCTGCCCTAGCACTTTCTCGTTATTCCTTGAATTGCAACACTTGGAATCAGCTCCAGCTCGCACTTGCCTATCTCTGGTCTTAATGTGGGTCATGCTTCTCACTCACAATTGATCCTTCTCGATGTCAAGCTGCTCGATGATGCAATGCACTCCGATAGAAACGTGGGTAAGTGCACATGCTTGACTTCTTGTCCTTCTGCTACCCTCAATGATGCCTCATCTCGCTTAAAAGAAAGCTCCTACAAAATTTCTGCACCGTCGACACTATTCTCTAAAAGTGGTGTCGGTGTCGTCTTCTCAGCACACCTCCAATCCCTCGATCAAAAGGTTCAAAACCCTCACCCACTTTCTCAATCTCGCCTTTGCATGCTTCTCAAATTTTCGAAGTCATTCTCCTTAGAAAGGTGATTTCAGTCCTCCATATAAGGCTGAAACACTCTTTTTATCTCGCTCTTTCATCTCCGCCGCATTCTCTTACTCATTTGTCGAGGAAATTGAAACGCTTGATTACGAAGTGTTACACACAACAACAAAAAAGTACAAGCACGTGAAACATGAGCATAAGCCATGCAAAAGGCATGTAGCATAAATGAGCAATCTTGTGAGTAAGCAAGTGAGCAGGAGCGTCATGCACAGGCTGAGCAAGCAAGCAAGCAAGGGTGTACAGTCAAGAATGATAATGAGAGGAAAAGAAGGGGAACAATATCTAAGGTTAAGACAAAACCTATTCTAAAGCAATTTTGAAGGGTTAAGAACTGTTATATCTTATGAATAAAAAAGAAAAGAAAGAGAAAATTACCCATATTTATGAGAAAATTGAATCACATCTCCAGCTAATCAGCTAATCACTACTTCCTAGCATGTTTTTTTCTGATAACATATTTTCCAATAGAAACCAACAAATCAGTAAGATATGAAAGAAAATATTAACAGTAGAAATCCTTTCCAATAGCCAAGACCAAATCAGTAATATAAGAGACTATAACCATAGAAGAAAACCCCTAATAGGGATTAAAAAGAGTTGACAATAAGGTTATTACAGCTTGTTATAGATGACAAAAATATTTAAGCAAGAATTTTATTTTACTTTGATTTTAAATTTTGGAACAAAAAGAAACCCTTCATCAAAAGGAATACTAATTGAGATGAAACGAGCAAGGATAGAAAAGTGAAAGTTAAAAATCATCAAGCTTTTCATATCAGATCCGGGAATCAGCCCTTTAAGGAACTTAATTTGTTAAGAAACTCTTCCTAAATGTAATGAAAACAAAACTAAATGCAAATCACAATTAACTTAAGCTCTTATATTTATGGAAGTACATTATTTCTGCCCAATGTTTACTTGCAAGAGTGGTGCATCACAAGCATTTGATGTACAATTGTTTGTCATCAGATAATTTCACTTGTAGTTGTAATACACATAAAGACACGCACACAATCTCTCTCTCTCTCTCTCTCTCTCTCTCTCATATATATATATATATAACTTATAGCACTCTCTATATATATATTAGAGAAAGAGAGAGAGAGAGAAAGAGAGAGTAGATCATGGAGCTTTTCTTTTAATCATAATCCAATCTAGCATGTAAATTGCTTTCTTTTATGAGATAAGTTATATTTTCAGAGTTCAAACCTAGTTAAGGAGAAAACCATTATGTATGCTCTTATGCTCTAATTCGGTCCCTCACAACTCAATCAAAAAATTGAGTTGAGGGACTAACTAAGTCATACTGAAGGACCAAAACAGTCAACTTTGAATAAGATGATGAATATGAAAGAACAAGGACATAATGAACACACCCTAAATATTCCATAGGCTAATTTGGTCATTTTCTCCATCGTTAGAAGACATGCATGATAGTTTAGCTTTTTTCATCATAGCTAGCTAGTTCTTAACATGAGAAAATTGGTAAAGTGAAAATAGTAGGATGCAATAATTGAAGATGATATCCAAAATAGCTCCTCTCCTGGGTTCAAGCACCATTCCTTTTAGGTAACTATAGAAAATCAAATTAATAAAATTCTTAACAGGCTAACCTGGTTAACAGCTGGAACAATTTTAGCAAACTGAAGTAGTTCACTGATCTGCTGACTAGTGAAATTGCTTACACCAATGGCACGAACAAGACCCATCTCCACTAAGTTTTCCATAGCTTTCCATGTCGGTTTCAACCGATGCAAGAATTGCTTATATTCATTCCCCGATTTCAAGGGAGGGTCTGTGGCATCTTCCATAGCTGAACTCTCAAGCCAATGTACTAGATACAAATCTAAATAGGACACACCAAGACTTTGTAGAGAAACTCTAACAGAATTTTCAATCCTCTTATGAGAATTAGTAGCAAAATACAGCTTAGAAGTCAAAAACAAATCTTCCCTCCTAAGTCCACCATGAAAAACTTCTGCCAGAGCTTTGCCAACTTCAACTTCATTTCCATATAGATGTGCACAATCTATATGTCGATATCCGGCCCTTAAAGCTGATGTCACTGCTTCAATGCAGATATCGCCTCCAGATTGCCATGTCCCAAGTCCTATAGCTGGAATCTTGGCCCCAGTATTCAAAACAAAAAACTTTTCAGCTGTTGGTTCTTTTCCTCTCATTATGTTAACCTAAGAAGAAAAAAAAATGGGGGAAACTAGCAATGAGAGCTAATTGAGACTACAAAGAAATTAAAATAACAAGAAGGGCTCATTTGATTGCATGAAGGTATAAAATATGTTATAAAAAGTAATAATTTAATTTTCATTCATTTTGAGTAAAATTTGTATCATCATATTTAAGGGATTTAGAAGGTGTTGGTAAGCTTAAAACTTATATTAATTTCTAACTTTATGCAACCAGATGATAGAATCTACAAAATTTAGCATTTTTATAAAGTCAACACGACTCCCACCTTAAAGGGAAAATGGGGCCGATCTTAAACTCCAAAAGCTATTGCTAAGAAGCAGCAGCAGAAAAAAAACCAACCATACTACTACCTTACTGAAGCTGCAATAAATCTGATAGAATAGCAACCCAATTAACAAATGAAAATAATACCTAGAGGGATTATTCTAAGTCTGAACACAACAAAAAATCAAAGTTATTAGGTTCCTCAAATGAAAGCCTGTACTTAGGAGTTCAATTAGGGGTAAAATCCATAATTTATATGTAAATATAACCAAACAAAGCCAATAGCATATGTAAAGATGCAGGAAACTACAATGTTAAGGACATTGAAACAATAATAAATCAATCGACGAGCGATGACAACGTCAAAATCAGAAAATTTACTATAAAAACGAACTAAAGTTAAGTTATTAAAAAAAACACCCTTTTTACGTGGACGAAGAAAACCCAACCCCAACAATCCCCAAAGAACCACAGAAGTCACTACAATGGATGAAACAGAGCGCAATATCACGTCAGAAGGAAAAAAGAAGCAACCTTTGCAACCCCCTCCTTAACTAATTAGAAAACAGATACGAGATTTCCTCGCAATTATCTGTCCACAAGAGTCCAAAAACGCAGAAACGAAGTCAAAATCGACCAAATAGCACCGAAACCTGCGAGAGAAATCAAGGATCGAGAAGCAGAAGCAAAATGTAACAAGGAAAAAATTGCGCCATTTTTCTCCATCCATTTCTCAGCTTTTCCAAACGCTTACCTAACAGAGAAGAACACAGTTTGAATGCCCACCAAACATTATAAAAAATGATAGAGAAATAGACACGAGCATGACAAGGTATACCGAAGATTCACTCTGACTCTGACCGGAGGAAATGAAAAAGGACCCCTTTTTTCCTTTTCTTTTTAATTTTTCTTCAAGTTGAGTTTTTATTATTATTATTTTCATTGTAAGTAGATTGTGAGTTTTTATTATTATTATTTTCATTGTAAGTAGACCTTTCTAGTAAGAGAAATTCGCGCGGATGAATAAATTATAGCAAATTGGCAGCTGTAAAAACAAAAGTGAACATCCAAACATCATGGTCTCAGATTCTCAGCTTTGATTTTCAATGATTCTGCATTATTTTTCCAGGATTCTAGTTTGGGCATATTTGCTTGTACATAGACGAAAACATTTTTTGAAGACGGAGAATTAAAAGAAATGAAAGTATTTAGGATTTGTTTGTAGAGGTTAAAATTAATATTGATTTGTTCAATCAAAATAGATATGAAAAATTTTTATTTTTCAAAATGTATTTTCTAACAGTAAGCTACTAAAGTTACGGAGTGAAATTTTATTGTTAAAAAATTCTTATTAGATATGATAAAAAGTTCCTACTTACTGTAAAAAACAGAATGAAATTTTGGAAAAGATTTTTTTTTCTTAGGGTTGTGAAACTTTTTGTTGATTAATTATATATTTTTACGAGCATGAATTTGTTATTAACATAAATAGAATTTCTTAAAAAAGTTTCAACTCACAATGGCAAGCAAATACCTAGAGATGTAAGAGAGAATGAGGCACAACAGGAAGCAAGTAGACATAAAAGAAGAGAGCGTGATGTCACAGACAAA